ATGGAGAAAATATATTTTATTTTCGGTGTGTTTTTACTACTTGTAACCTGAAGCTGTGGAAGTTAGGAGCGCCTACTGTTTTAATCGGGGATAGGGTATAGGCTTTAGGATGTTACGGCATCAGCCTTACACTTGGGTAACATGATAGAATATGATGTTCATAACGTATTTGGTTTCTTGGATGCCAAGGCAACAAACAAGGCCTTACTCAATGTGACTGGTAAAAGATCATTTGTACTCAGCAGGTCAGCTTTTGTAAGCTCTGATAGGTACACAGCACACTGGACAGGAGACAAGTCCAAAATGGGAGGATTTGGCTTACTCAATTCCAGCCACTTAGAACTTTGGACTCTTCGGAGTTCCGATGATTGGAGCCGATATATGTGGATTCTTAGGAGATACAAATGAAGAACTCTGCTGGCGCCGGATTCAGAAAATTGATAAGCAAGCCTTTAATTTGAACACTTCCACAAGAACTAGGCCACATTATGTATCTTCTTTTACACTTGCATTGTGCTTTGGGAAGTCAAATTATGAGACTAGCTTTACTTATGTCTATATGCAGGTAGGGGCCTTTTACCCCTTCTCAACAGATCACTCAGATAAGAATTAAATCCGGCAAGAGCTCTACCTTTGGGATTCAGTGGTTGCATTAAAGCAACACCGGAAAAGACTCACGTTTCAACTGAAAGTTCTACTGCAACCAACATGTCCATCATCATCTCCAGTCTCAGAAAACAAACTTTTACTTCCTAACTGTTGCTATAAACTGCACAGGGCATGTTTGCTGAATTAAATTCTAATCCAATCTCACCATTTCAATCTATTAGAACTTTCTATACACGCACTGCATATCATTTTTGGCAAACTGAGAACATCCAATTTTTCAGTCGCAGATTCATTTGACCATTGCCTCAAAGAAACCTTTCACTTTGAGCAGCCATGATTAAGTTATATCTTACAGAAATCTTTCCTTCAACACTTGTGATTTACCTACATAATCAATAACAACTGTCTCTGGACAATTGTCGAGGTCTGGAATTCACATTAGCCTTTTGAAGTCCCACCAAATTCTTCTAAGAGACGCTCGATGGTCTTTCTGGATGTGACCTTGTCAATCTCAAATGCTTGCATCTCCTCTCCGAGACCTGTGCGAGCACCATAAGTAAGTTTAATATCACCCTGAAATGATAATACAATTTAACCCTTTCTTTTTTGTTATCCTGGATTATGTGTAGCAATTACAAACGATAAACGGGCAACTTACTAGTAAGGAACAATAAAGGAACAAAAAAAGCAACTGGAGTTTGTATTTTCTCATAATCGATGTCCCCTTCACCAAACACCAAGACAGCCAATAAAACTCTATGGGATGCTTTTCAAACGTATTGATTCCAAGTAGGAATTTAATTCCTAATTTTTCTGACCGCAAAAACTGATGTGCATGGCCTGTATTATTTTGAAGTGATTCTTACCTGGCTGATGGATCGCTTTGAGAGGCAGTTGGGAAGCACTCGCATTGAAGAAAAACAGCAGATTCTTCATGAGCTCCACAGATTCAGCAGACACCAGGATCTCTCTCTAAATTATACCAAAGATATGGAGAAAGTCAGAGCCTCTACCATAAAATAGTAAAAAGCCACAGTACCCTTATTCTACCAAAAGAGACAAGATTGTAACTGCATCAGAATATGTATGGGTATACGAGTAGGGAAGCTGGATTACTTATTGAATTGAGACCATACTGAACTAGTATTCCCAATTTCATGAGCAAACAAATGGCAAAAGGCCCTTTAGCTCAGCTCATAGCAGTCAAAAGTTGAAGTACAAAATATTACAATCACACAGAACACAGAAGTTTGAGTTGTTCGAACTTGGGACTTTCATAGGCAAGGCAGATAGGGAAACTTCACTAAATGAAGAAGGTTACAATATTCTCTAAAACCTTATTGCATACCCTTCTACTACTACATGAGGACTTTCATGTTTGGTGTCCGCCCCCTCTTTTTAAAACACCCCATTGCATACCCTTCTACTACTACATGAGGATCAAGAGGATTGCATGCATAAGTTCAACCACAAAGAGTAGAATCTATGACACCAAACATGAAAGAACTTTTTTTGGGTTTAAGCCATGGTAAACCCTATTCCAACTTTTTCCTCGACAACATAAGGTATCCAGATCATTAGCTCCCTAAAACAAGTGTTAATAAAAAGAGAAACTGTCAAATATAAGCATGTATCTAACCTTGAAGTTCTTCTTCGAATCATAATAACCAGAAACAATCATGAGAAGCCGAATTTTCTCCATATCTGAAATTTAAATATAAAAAAAGCCAAAAAGACAAAAAGAACTAAATACGTATGTAGTTTAAACAGGTGGTATGATCCATCAATGTCATGTAGTAATTGGGAACACATGATTAGAAGACGTGTGAATGAGTGAAAATTAAAGCTACTGGCAATATAATTTCTTCAACATTACAGTATGATACTACCTTTATGAGCCGTATAAAAAAAGAATACTATCATGAATTAGTAAACAAACTGACTAGGAATTGTAGTAAAGGCTTCAAGACTTCTGTTCCTTGCAACATGAAAGATCTTTATTCTTCAACTATTTCACGAGAATATATGAGGAATGGGTTTGTTTTTCAAGGAAAAAGGAGAAACACTCGTACAGAAGTTGACAGATGTACTTGTGGCAAGATAACTGAGACTAAATCAAAAGTAGGGCAAGTAATTTAGAGATTGTGCGAGCCAGTTTTTGAGGGAGTGAATCTTTATCCAAGATTAGTAGCCATGATGACAATGAAAGAAAAAAATATACTTACATTGGAAATATTTAATTTCACGCACTGAGGTGTCCTCATGATCAAGAAGTTGGGCAATTGGCACTCCAATAGAACTCATCCCGATTTGTGATGCCATCATTCTAGAACCAGCGCTGTCTGGCTTACCTGTTTCAACAATTTCTATGTTATTGGAAGGTTATTCCATTATGTTTAAGGGCGAAAAAAATCCCTTGACAAGGCTAAAAATAGAGAGGAACTAATGGTCAATGGTCAGGGAAGGAAACTTTCAGCAAAATATTGTGTTATTAATTTATTTTTGCCTCAGTTATTCAACTCTTTCTTGATTGCGTCCAACTGGATCTGCCTTGTACTCAGAGCACATGGAGTGAGCATTTGAAATGCGCCCAGTCCAATATATATTTATAGAGGGACCTGATTCCCTCAAACATGACTTGCTGATTATTTACTATTTTGAGCGGATTTTGATAGAAACCCCTTATTTAGACACTTGTATTGATTATTTTGGCCCTACTTTCTCTTTTGATGGGAAGTTTTGGTCAGACTTATCTGCACTAATGTGCTTTACTTAAAAAGTATCCATATATCTATAACTGGGATGTGAGGACTAAAACAAATGAAACATGCAAAAACTGAACTTTTAGATATCTTGCTTAGCCGATCACAGTGAACATAAAAAGGTTCGCACTTTTTACTTGTAATGCAAGTCCAGGCCTTGCATCAGTATAAAGTCAAGTGCTCTCTTCATGATATAGCTAAATTAAGCCAAATATTTAAAAAGTAAATATATATATAAATTTTTAACTAGACTGAGAATGGTCTAAACATGTCTGCAAAAGATAAGTCACATGCGATGGCCATTTGTATGAACTGAAGTCAGCTCATCTAAGAATTTTCCCTAATAGTCATTTCTATTGAGTTTTATGCCATCCAGTTCAGTCGACCATATCAATTTATTGAAAGTTGAATCTTCAGACAGTTAACAACAAAATCTTATTGCAGAACACGCCAATAATTTAGTTGCACTATTATATAAGAGGACTAAGGTTAGTTCAAGTCCATACCAACTCTTGTCCACTTTTTGAAATCCTTGCGCAATATATCAGCTACCTTGAGATCAGACACATCATACATTTTGTATCTCACTGAAAATCAAAAATTATATTTAGAGGAAGACGCTTCGAGGAAATAAAATAAATAAATAAGATATATAGGCACGTAATGGACAAAATACATACGTAACTGGTAAAGACCATTGCATCCAAAGCGACCAGAACCATGGATTAACAGTGTAGCCATGTACTTATCTTTGAGTGAACACTGAGGACTACACAAGTTCGCGGAATCTAAGAGGATGGCAGCTAACTGCAAGAAAATAGGAATTCCAGAGAGTGAAAAAAACTTAATAAGGCATGGAGGGTAAAGTAAAGTCCATGGCAATCCAACCTATCAACTATCAATTGCTCCCCGCTCCAACCCCCCAGGGGGGTTCAAATGGCTGGGCTACACTATAGGGGTAAGGATTTGACTACCTATCTTACATTAGGAGCCATCATGGCAACCCAAGAATAGAAAAGGGGGATGGGTACCATCATGCTACAAGGGACAATAACTAATAAAATATGAAGTAATTCAATCTGATCAAAGGAACAACAAAAGGAAAAGATGAAAGAAAATAAAAAGGATAAGGAATAAAAGAAAACCACAAGGCCAAGAACAATTTTCTACTAGAAATTAGATAACAATCAACCAAGATGGGCACACAATAAAAAAAACATGGGAAGGGCTTATATAATTGCTGCACAAGTACATGGCCTATATGGTGGAGGAGGAACAGGGAGAGAGCAGATACTCGAATGTACACCAATAAAAAGGTCTTTCAATCTTGAAATAAGCTGTTCACATGTTATAGCCTGAAAAGAGAAGGAAGGTACCAAAAGTCTACTGAATCCTTGTCCAGCCAAAATCTCAGGTGAAATCAGTGCAAACTTCTCAGCAACAAGTGTACAGCATGAGCTATCCTGTTTCTTAAAACACGAGAATCAGCATATTTATTCATGTTAAGAACAATAGAGACAAGTACGCTGGTAAGATTATAATACATAGTTTTCAATCCTTCATGATAAATAAATAGGACATAGATAATCAAGCATAACAAGATGGTTTGTTTTGTTCCTCTCTTTTCTCACTTCTATAAAATCTTGTTCCTTACAGGAAAACAAGGATAGAAAATGAAAAGGATATATATAAACACCAAAAGTGTATTTTAACGTCTAAACGCTAAAGTCATACCTCTGCTATAGTAATGGTCTTAACCCAGGGATATACAGATTCGCCCTGCAAAAAGAAAAGAAATCTTATAATAGGCATTTTTTCATTATTGAAAGTGTCAGGAAGTAGGAAGATAAGCTTAAAAGTAGTCCACATTGAGTTCAGCAAAACACCTCTTTGCAATTGAAAATTTCAACTACTGCCTGTTTCAATGCCTGTTTAGGAAGACAAAAGTATTAGTCATTTCCCATGGTTAAAAATTCAAGTATACCCCGAATTAAATATACCTCTTGCTTGGCTGGGAGCTTGTTCCCATTTAATAGAACTACTTTAAGACTCCCAAATAGATCATAATAGGACAGATCAATCTGTTCAAAATTTCATGGTGGGGGATAAACAAATCAGTTGAACAGGCATGTTGTAATTGAAAGCTTATATTTCGGGCCCTAACTAGTCACAGGTAAAAGGCATGAAACTTAGAGAGGGAAAAAAATCAACATAACTAAATCCCCATGATTCACATATGAACATACCTCATCTACAAAAATTAAGGACGACTGATCAATTTGACAAGAATCTAGTAACCATTTGAGTTCAGCTTGAGAACGTATGTCCAACCTCTTCATGTTGATGACAGGCACCGTGCAAATCTGGTCACTTTTACGTGCTTCATTCAGGTAGAAGGCATAAGTGATTGTTGAAGCAATAGATCCAACATCTGCAAATCACCAAAGAGTGATAAAAATGTGAACTCTGAGATCAGTTCACAAGTTGGCTGACAGATTGAAAAAATCACAATGATCTTCAGAAATACATTTTATCAGCATTTCCATACAGTTTTTCCTTACTTTTCTTTTTAATTTGTGTTAATAGAATGCATAGCTGACCACAGATGTTGCATGGACTTTGGACTATGGAGATCCTTAGAATTCCAATATGGTCAAGAAGTCTCAATAGAAAGAAAAGAAATGGACGTTTATAGTATTAGTCATTAGACTAGATAACAATTTAATTGTTTTCCAACGAATTTCAGGGCACAGCACATCAAGTTTGTCTTGTCATGGATTGGATTTTGAAAGTCATATTGTACTGTGGTCTCCTATATATATAATGATACAGAAATTTAAAAAGGAGAAGTAAAGATAACTTGAAAAGGAGGATTCAAAGTAGGCATTACCAGGGCCATCTTGAGCCATTACAACATGTAAGAATCTTCCTGGGACACCAGCATTAACTTCATCCTTTGTGGCTTTGAGAAATGAATTAAGCTTGTTAATGCTTGGACATGATGCAACAATTTCAAATTCTGGTGAGTCCCCATTATAGAATGATGCTGCAGACTGAGGAAGTGAAACTGTAGACAGGTTTTCTTTCCTTCTATTCACCCTAAATGATTTTGCACTTGTGGGACTTGTTAGGCCATTTACAGTAGGTGGCTTCTCATTTGCTTCAATGGGCTCATTTGGGTCAAAGCTAAAAAGTGACTGAACATCCGTGAATGCAAATGAAGCTGTTTTGCCAATTTTTGACCGTTCAAAGGGCTGAAGAAATGGGTTGTTACCAATATCTGTCAATGAATCATGTGCATTTCTTGTGTGAGTGTTACCAATATCTGACATGGTGCGAGAAATGTTCCGGCTGCCAAGGCTTGCTTGGAGATCAATTGGAGGACTAGGCGTTCCATCTTCCGCTCTCAACAGACCATCGAAAAATGGGTTCTTTCTTGCACGACTGTATGCTTCTTGTACCTGCATAACATTCGGGGCACATTTCAGCACAAATTGAACAATGAAATGAAAAGGGTAAGGACCATGTGAGCTTCAGAGTGACCTGGTTCGGTTGCCCAACTGCTCCGGGGCTGGGACTCCTGGACCTCATGATGACGATGAAGATGAAAAGCAATAGAAGAGATTGCAAAGCCAATACTATGGAAATTTTGAAGGCATGAGAGGACGGCAGAGTCCATAACTAAAACAACAACACAAGACGCCCCCGCCATAATCTTAGCAGAGCCCAAGAGCTTAGGAAACAAAGTTTTAGAATCGGACAAAGTTTCAAACTTTTCACCTCCCATTCCACTTTCGTCTTAACTTTGACTGCGTGGCAGTTGGGCAAATCAACAGATAATCCAAATTAAACTTTTATATAAAAAATAGACCAATATAAAGTCCTTAGCTTTGGAAACTGTCGTCGTTTCTTTTCTTTTCTCTGTATCATACTTTTCCAGAGTTGCCAATCAAATCTCAGCCCACCTAGCTGCCGCGTCTATCGAACCCATCGCGCGCGAACCCAAATTTTTCTGTCTAAGCTTGGGTCTCATCGCCCGAGAGCCTCAGGTCTCCTGCCTCCTTGACCGTCATCGTCGAGAGGACCCCGGTGACAAGTACCAGGTCGAGGTGGCCGAAAGCAGGGACCTTTAAGTCACCAATCTCAGAAGGTTTTTCATTTTTTATTTTCTTTTGAATTTTCTAATCTGGGTTTGTCTTATTACTTTTTTTATTTATATATTTAATTTTGTCACCTAGCGTGCGGATGTTTATGCTGTTTGGTTGGGAGGAAACTGTAAGAAATTGAGGAAAAATCTAGTTTTTCATATTGGGTTTTCATAGCAGTGCAAAATTTTATACCATAAGGTCTTCTTAGACACATTCCCGTAGGCCGTAGTTTAGGACGATGCAGCTCAAATTGAAAGCCAAGTGGCGACATTTATACACTGGCGTTAACTCTTTCTAAGAATTTGATAAAAACAAACAATAAATCTTCCCGGGAATCAGTTTCTGTCAAAACGAACAAGGCTCTTAACTCTTTTTCGTGATAGGTGTTTAAATTGTTTTTCAACCTTTTCAGGTGCCATGGACATCCCTCTGCCTCTTAGTAAATTAGCTCTGCATTTGGTTAATCACGACAACAAGTAAGTTCATATTGTCAATTATATTTATTTCACTATTTTTGTTTGTTTTAGTTACTAGTGGAATAGTTGGATATGTCTGGCATTCAAGGATTGAATTAGTTTTATGCTTTTCTCTGTTTTTGTTACTAGGGACAAGAAATACGTAGTTCTAGTAGCAACTGGAAGTTTCAATCCTCCTACTTATATGCATTTACGAATGTTGGGTAAGTTGTCGCACGAACTAGTTTCTTTCTCATTTTGACAGCTAAATTGTGAATTTACATATATGTGAATTGCGCACTCTATTTGAATCTGGTCATTGCCTCACAGGTTTCATTTTATGCATATGACTTTGGGCTCTTTTGCTTATTTTTCACTGGAAATTACATACCTTTTGTATTTTTTGATCAATTTTGCTGTTGTGCACAGAGCTGGCAAGAGATGCACTGAGTTCAGAAGGCTTTTGTGTCATTGGAGGTTATATGTCACCTGTTAATGATGCGTACTATAAGAGGGTATGTAAACTTTAGTAGCATCTCTGTAGGCATCGGAATAGCAAGAGCTTTCATAAGCACTTGGGTAAGGTACACAGTACGTACAGGATATCCTAACAGAGTTCTGGGATGGAAGTTAGTCACATAGCTCAACTTCTTCCTGGATCCCTTTTAACCAGGGTTGTAGAAGCAATGCGCTTATTCCATTTGTTTTATTGCATAGGTTACTCGGATGAGTTTGTCAATGCAATTCTGAGATTTATCACTTCTTTATGCTTAATGAAGTGCTATAGCTAAATCATATGATCAGATATCACGTATCCCTCTATTGCCACACACTGACATGGTCACTTGGTTGGCTATGTAGGGCCTTATATCTGCTGAACATCGTGTACAGTTGTGCCATCTAGCCTGCCAGAGTTCAGAATTTATAATGGTTGATCCTTGGGAGGTATATATCTCCCTTTTTCTCTCCACTGTACAAATTTTTTAGAATCTTAGATGATGCTTCTGTTGTGCAGTACTTTGTCTTATTTATTTACTGCCACTAGGGTTCTGAGTACTTATATATAGAATTTATAAACCAATTTTACAGGCAAGACAGAGTAGCTTCCAGCGCACTTTAACTATTCTGTCTAGAGTCAAGGGTTCCTTGTCTGAGGCTGGGCTGATACCCAGTGGTAAGATTTGCAAAACTGTTATCCCTCATTTTCCTTTGAGGAGCTGCACTATGATTTATCCTCACACAAGTTGCTCTTTATATGCATGCATATAGATGGATACAACTGCAAAGAACACATGCACATATTCTTGCCCAAAACTGTGTGACCATAACATTACAGTTGTCAGGAATTCTTTGTCATATTGCTGCTTGAAACCCTGTTTTTGGATTCCGTTTATCAGCTCTGGACACTCTTTCTCAAGTAGTCTTAACATATGGTAGTTTACGGCTTTTATTCCATCGATCTGTTTCCTACAAAATAGAACGAAAATAAAGGCAGCTTATTCCATAGATAAGCTGCAGCACTGGCACTCATATATATATTGCCTGTTGAGTACTTTGCTTAATCAATTTGATGCATGATGTCTGAACCTGGTTCACAGTTCTACTTTATCATTGTTAATTTGGAGGCAATATGATTGACTTCTGTCCTCTTGATAGAATCCCTTAAGTGCATGCTTGTGTGTGGCTCTGATCTACTCCACTCTTTTGGCATTCCTGGAATTTGGATTGCTGAGCAGGTATGTCTGTAACTCTATATTCTAGTGGTCATGTGTAGTTAATTCTTACAAGATAACCATCTCATTTTTCATGTATTACTAACTTACTATAGAGTACAACGACTTGATCTGGAGAATTTTAATTTATTTTAGTTCAGTAACTTAAAAGGTGGCGAATAATTGTTAGGAGAACATTTGGTCATAATGTCCAACAATTACACATGAATGGAAATTAACTGAGCACTTGGTGGATCTTTGTTGTATAATGTAAAGTAACCTAACACTTGCAGTCTGGTAGGGTTTAAACCTTTTGAATTGGTCCGTTTCTGGTTCAAGAAGATGGTAAGCTACCATAACATTTGTCCTTCTTGATCAGGTCAGAGGCATATGCAGAGATTATGGGGTGGTTTGCATTCGCAGGGAAGGACAAGATGTTGATAAAATTATCTCAAATGATGAAATTTTGAAAGAGAACAGGGTAATCGCATCTCTTGATCTTTTTAGTGCTTTTTGGCTCATACATTGTAATAGTAAATCAAACTCTCATTCAGTGGTTGTAAAACACTAGATTTTCTTAGTTACACCTAGATTAAATAACCATTACCCAAAGTGATATGTCTCTCATGCATTTTTCTTTTCTACACCTATGTATGTATAGTCTGAATATAAATTAAGCAAATTGGGATTGTATTGTACAAGGGTAGGAATTGGTCTGAATTGAAAAATCAAAATTTTCGTAATGGTTTGAAATAGTGTAAAACCTTTTGTCGCTTAAATAGTTTTGATTTGAAGCTTCTTTACAGCCCATTTATTGTTAATTCTTCTCCTTTATTACAGGGTAACATAAGAATCGTGGATGAACTTGTACCGAACCAAATAAGTTCAACGAGAATAAGGTAAAGACAATATGATTCATTGACAAACATGCTAAGGGGAATGTGGAACTGATAACTTAACAATGTATTTCAGGGATTGCATTTCAAGAGGATTGTCAATAAAATATCTGACTTCTGATGAAGTAATTGATTACATTAGAGAACATCAGCTGTACTTGAACTCAAACGGCATGTGATGAAGATGATCATCAACAGAAAGATCTTCGTCATTTTCTTTCATCTCAAAGACTTAAAAATAAGTTGATCATCATTCATCCTACGCTCGTTAAGAAAATAATCTCAAAACCATTTTTTAGCAAATGCATAATTTGGTATATGTAATAGATCAAAGAAACTAATTTAGTTTGTACTCAAATACAGAATGGAATCTATAGATACAGATCTTCTCTAACATGTGCTAAGGCTGTAGATGGCCTTTTCTTTGCTAAGGTTGCCGAGCCATCAGCGGTAGTTGACGGGCTTAAAAAGGTAGAATTCAACGATGTGGTGTTGAATGTTGAAGATGTGATAACACAATTTGGATTTGCGTGGCTCATGAGGATGTGAATCTGACAACTGAAGCTGATGGTTGAAGTCAAAGCTCCACATGGGCATTTTTGTCTTGCCATTTTGTACACTCTGAAATTTACTCCGACAGAGACCAATAGGGGTGGCTCAACCTTTGGCTCAATTTTCTTAGGGTAGTGCTTAGGCTAGAATATGAGTAGAAATTATGTGTGCAGGATGTTCGTCTTTTTTCAAAAGACAAATTGTATTTGATATTGTTGATGTCTATCAATGAGACGTCAATATATTTTATTCCAACATGTTATCTACAATGATATCAACACCTTATGATGAGGTCAATATATTTTATTCTTGACATGTTATCTACAATGATACCGACACCTTCGACAATAAATTCTTCTCGTCGTTACTAAAGAATGTATGATTTCTCATTAAGCAATAGTGGTGGATATGCATTATCAAAAGGAAGCAAATGAAAAATAGAATAGTGGTCCAATCATGAAAAACTGGTTTACTACTTCAATAATTTTGTTTAAGAATATAAGATCGGATGTAATATAAAGATAAAGTACCGATAAGTGATAGAAACAAATGATGATGTTCCTGAATTTTGACTTAACCCTAATAATTAGCATAAAAAAAAAGTTGTCGTCTTTTGACCAAACTTGATGCATGCACTAGTGAGCTTCTCACAATCATTTTGTTTTGTGAATAAATTGATCATTTGTCCAAGTCATTTCCATGTCTTCTACTTTATATATATGTCTAAGTCTAAGACCAAAGCCTTGTTAAGAATAGTGTTGGTGACTCACCAAAAGAAAAGAATGATGTTCATCAAAGGATTGGTGTAGCATAGAGCAAGACATCCTAACTAAAATTCATGTAGACAACAAAATCAAGCAATGGCATCATTGTAATATGGACATAAAGAAGGTTTAATTAGACAGCGTGGGATAATGTGGGATGATTAGACAGCGTGTTGTTGGTGATTCTTTTTCTTCTATTGGTAGTCAAAGCATGTTCATTCAACCCAAATCAAATTGAAGGGTGAGGCTCCATCTAGTATATTTTTAGAAAATTTTATCATTTCCTCTAAGGGTAATTAAGATTCAAACTATTTGTACAACGTAGATATATAGGCTTTTTCATCTAAGATTAAATATGGGTTGAATCAAACGTTAATTATAATGCGACTGACTATATGTTCTTGACATGTTTTTATGAATGCAATGTAGATATAGAAAGAGCTTCAATTGAACAACATCGCAACGGAATAGAGACAGTCGAGCAATCGGCTATACTTTTGAGTCGAATATCCCTCACTGTCCTACAACAAGAGAGTTTATTGCGATATGTTATTTTCAAAGAAACCGATGTTGTATTAACTTATTAACCAATTAACATTTGAATACTCTTATATTGCACGCATTTATCATTTATATGGAATAATAAAGCGCAAAGTCTTTACAAAACAAGCACTGATTGGACCCCATTTGCGGGTCCCCCTCTCAAAATTGAGAGATGTTCGAGGAAGAAAAAAGCACACCTTAAAATTGAAGAAAAAGAAGAAGAGGGGTCGATCGTAATGAGAAAAGTAAAGCAATTCCAATTTTCCATAACATCGGCGTAAATGGAGCTTATGTTAGATGGACCGACCACTAAATGGGTCCTACATGTGTAAGATTTTAGGTTGCTTTTCTGCCCATATTTGTCCATAGTTGAACTGTGGAAGGAAAATCAATATGCGGGCATTCTATGGGGATTGAGAAACCACAATCATAGTCATGTAACATGTTAGCTAGCTCTCTACCTACGGTAAGGGTTGATGATCCCATCTTTGACCTAGAAAGGTTGACAAACATTATATGCATGATGCATGCTCCAAATATAGTAGAGGACATCCCCAAGGAGCTTGGAAACCTTAAGGAGCTAACTCTCCTGTAAGCAATGAAACATAAGAAAACACAATTAAAGTTTGTGTTTTAGACAAATGAGAAATGATCTATTGGGACATGTTAAATATAGAACCCCCTATCATTTAATTCTATACCTCTTCAACATGACTTGTTGCAGGTCCTTTGGATCAAATAATTTCTCCGGAACACTCCCTCCAGAACTTGGTAACTTAGTCAATCTCGGGCTATTGTGAGTGCTTCATTTAACTCATCGAATTTAATTGAATCACATGTTGCAATGTGTAATTATTTTCTCTTCAAGGAGCGGTTTATCATATGAAATTGGTACTAATCAGTTTATGATTTTCACAGGTACATGGACAGCTGTAGATTTAGTGGTGAAATTCCTTCAACATTTGCTAAGCTCACCAACATGCAACTTGACATTTGAGATAAATTAGAACTTACTACAAGAACTGAAGCCATGCAGTTGTGAGATTCAAATGCTTCTCTAGGAAAACTGGAGAAAACTGACTTCTTTGTAAGTATGGCAAACTTTTAACCTTCTGCAGTTTATGAAAGCAGATCTGCATGGCTGAGATGGGTCTTTTATTCACAAGCATCTCAAATGTTTTTGTAGGAGATTGCAAGGGAACTCTTTTGAAGGCCCAATACCAACCAGTTTTTCTCAACTGACTTCATTGAACACTCTGTAAGGGCAAATGCTTCATACGTTTTACTCTCTCTCTCTCTCTCTCTCTCACTATACTAGCAGCATCACTTATGTTTGTGTATGATAATGCAGGCGAATCAGTGATATATCTCATGTGAGCTCCTCTCTTGATTTTATAAGAAATTTGAAGAACTTGGCTGAATTGTAAGTTAACATTCTCATCCCTTCAAATATGGTGATATAACTTCTTTTTTCCTTTTAAAATTACTCATTTACTTGTGCACTAAATTTTTTGGTGGTGGAACAGAGTTCTACGGAATGCATTAATCAATGGTAGCATTCCTTCTGATATTGGAGACTATGAAGATTTAAAGATACTGTACGTTCCAACTTCCAGTAGATATATAAGTTCAAATCCCAAGAATCCCAGTTAATTTTCGTTCATTCTAATTGCTTTCTAACCTTATCATTCGTGTTGCAGGGATCTGGGTTTCAACAATTTAACAGGCGAACTCCCAAGTTCTTTGTTCAGCATGAGTTCCCTTACATACTTGTAATAAGCCCTGCCTTCTCCATTACATTTTTCTGTACTCATGCCATTGGATTTCCTGCTCAGAAACTTAGTCATTCATCGGACCTTTTTCTTGTTTCTTTCTTCTTTTTTCCTTCTTTTTCCGGGTGCCTTATATTATAATTGAAATTGCCAGGTTTCTTGGAAACAATAGCCTGTCTGGACCTCTTCCAAGCCAAAAGAGCAATCGACTTCAGACTATGTAAGTCCTCATGTCATAGAAGTATGTTATATAGAATGTACTGGCAATGAAACAAGTACTCTGTGTGCGTCTGTGTGCATATGGGTGTATCTGTGTATGTGAGATAAAATCTCAATCACGGCCTCATCCATTGATGAAAACATTCTAATCATTTTTGTTCTTCAAATTATTTTGGACTTTCATGCATTTTGTGCCCTCTCATTCTGTATTGTTATGTGCAGTGACTTGTCTTACAACTATTTATCAGGAAGCCTTCCCCAATGGGTAACCGCAATATCGCAACTGTATGTCTCCTTTTTATCTTTCACCTTCATGTTTACAGTTTAAATCACCAGAATCGGTTTGGGCAAAGCATATCACCACGATTTGTTCTTACAGTGCTTCTTTCCTTGAATATTGTGCATATATAATACCCACATGAATGAAATTCAATAAAGGTTTACGAAACTATCAGATTGCATCCTTAATGGTTTTTTTGTGTCATTCGTGGTCCTCAAGGTTAGTATGTGTGCACACAAATAATGTGTGTGGCAATTTGAAGTGATGGATTTGAAGTACTACTATGTTTAGATATTGAACATGAAATCTTTATTTAATAAACATGTATAGCTTCGTATGTTGATTGATGAATGATTTTATGCAGGAACTTAGTGGTCAACAACTTCATATTTGGCAGTTCAAACATAACGTTAGACAGACAATACCATCACTACTAGCTATTACACTTCTTCAGTTTAATGGATTCTTCCACTACATTTTTCCATCTAGATAAATAATAATTGTTCTCTGTGTTTGCAGTCTTCCTGGATTGAATTGCCTCCAGAGGAATTTTCCATGCAATCGAAATACCCCTCGATGTAATCTTCTTTTGTTTCACTAGCCATTTATTAATGCATTATCATGTTACAGGAATAGGCATTGCTTCTCTAACTATGTATACATATTGCAAGAGTGTTTTGATACATCTAGTAAGCATATCTGGTTATAAATATGTGATTCAGAAACATCAGTATGAGTCTTGTCTTGAGTTTGAAGTTTTTATCACTAATCATAGCTTGTGCTACTATATTCAATTTTTCAGATGCAAACTTCTCAATCAAGTGCGGAGGACCACAAATGGGAGGAATTGATGGCATATTGTATGAAGCTGATCAAGACTCAGCTCTTGGCCCAGCAAAGTTTTATGTAACCAATACACAGAAATGGGCTGTTAGCAATGTGGGTTTGTTTTCTAACCGAAACAATCCATCATTTGTGGAAACCACCCTTACGGAAGTCACCGGTACAGATGTGACCCCAAAGCTTTTCCAGACTTCAAGACTGTCCCCAAGTTCACTGAGATACTATGGCCTGGGTCTTGAGAATGGACTTTATACCGTAACGTTGCAATTTGCAGAAACGGTTTTTGCTAGCCGCGATACACAAACTTCGCAAAGTCTTGGAAGGCGTGTATTTGATATCTATATTCAAGTAAGGCTGCTAATAAAGCAAAATAAAAAAACTTAAGCTAATTAAAGTAAAGGCAACCTCATTAGACAGAATTATTTAACTGTCTCTTCATTTGCTTCCTAGGGGAACCTCATATGGAAGGACTTTGACATATCGAAGGAGGCAGGTGGGGTTAACAGAGCAGTTGCGAGACCCTTCAAGGTTAATGTGACAGAGAATTACCTAGATATTCATCTGTTCTGGGCTGGTAAGGGAACATGTTGCATACCTGAACCAGGTGATTACGGCCCGCTAATATCGGCTGTCCATGCTGCTTCAGGTATATAATATAATGTCAAGTGATGAAGATTTCCTATGAATGGTTTAAATGTATTTATCTGCTGTCAATTGATTGACACTGAACAATTATTCTGTTTCATTGCTCAGATACACCAACTACTCCAGGAAAGAAGAGCAGGACTGGGTTGATAGTTGGTATTGCAGTCCCTGTTGGGGTTGTGAGCTTGCTATTATTATTTGCAGTTCTATATATGAGGAGAAAAAAATCAGAAAAAGATGACGATGAAGGTAAAAGAGCATATTATTAGTGGTTAATTCTGCATGCGGTTTTAGGTTCTTTCTAGTGTTGATAAGCATGAAGCCTTTGAAACAAATTACTTCTTATGTGTTGTGACATTAACACAAATTTTATAGTAGCATGTATTGTTTCGAAATTTAAACGTATGTCATACTTTCTTTTGAATATGCAGATCTTCTAGGATTAGGCCCCCGACCAAATACTTTCAGTTATGCTGAGTTGAGAGCTGCAACAGAAGATTTTAATCCTTCAAATGCGCTAGGAGAGGGAGGATATGGACCTGTTTATAAGGTGAAATCTATTTTACATCAATATCTGCTACTTTAAAGTAATGACTTTGACTTCTTACAAAAAGAAATTGAGAGAGAAGCAAAATAGATTCTTTTTACTTCACTTTCATGTCACTGAATTGTATTTCTGTTTATAGGGTAC